CCAAGGGGAAAACGGGACTTTCCTCCGTGTCATCCCTCCTCTGTACCCCATGATCTCCCCAGTAAGGGCTGTGCCTGTCCCTGGATTGGCTGGGAACAGGTGTTACCTGCCCAGTTAGGGGACCTGAGGGATCTATCCCAAATCTCTCCTGAACCCCATCTCAGGCCCAGAGCAAGCTCAGGAAATAAACCAAGGCGGCATCTGGAGCCTTTGCAGTGGTGAGAGGAGGACACGGTATGGAAACTGAGATTCTTTTGCTTTTCCTCGCAGACTTTGATGGGGTCGTCTGTCTGGGAAAGTTTGCCTGAAGGCCAAGTCTGTGACTAAACTAGGAGCTCTTCATGTCCAGGCACTATCGTTCCTGCCCCCTTCTTGGGCAGTAGGTAACTCTCGGCTTTGAAAAACAAGCCCTGGTGACACACTGGTGATGGCTGTGGGAGAAGCAGAGTCCGGATGTCTCTGTGGAGAACTCGGTGCTTCTCGGCCTTGTCTGAACCTTTCGACCGGGATTTCCTCATTGCAAAGAGTGGTGGTCACTCTGGCCCTGAGAGTGACCAAAAAAAGGTTCCCGTGTCTCACGGTGAATTCCAGAGTGCTCCGCCAAGCCCCCAATTTCCGAGAGATGCACCCCCATCGCTGCTGGGAATATTGATGCCAGTGACACACACTGTGTCTCTCAGCGGCCAGCGCGATACCCGGTAAGGAATTGCACTGTCCAGGATTACTCCACGTTCAGGAAGTGGCTGATGCTGGGATCCACGGGCCCTTGCTCTTGCTTCAATCCGGACACATTGACTTTGGAGCTTCTTAAGGGTGAGGGGCACCTGGGTGGCTCAGTTGGCTGAGCCACTGACTCTTGGTGTGGCCCAAGTCATGATCTCAGGATCATGAGATCTAGCCAGGCATGGGGCTCTGAGCTCAGCAACGAGTCTGTCCGGGATTCTTTCCCTCCCTTGCTGCCCCTTCCCCGTCTCACACGTGCGCCAGTGCGTGCTCTCACGCACTCTCTCACGCACTCTCTCGCGCTCTCTCTCAAATAAATAAACTCTTTAAAATTAAAAAATATACATATTGGCTGAGGCCCCAGTCGCACCTTCATTGAGGGTCAGCTTCCTCTCTCCGCCCTCCTCGCTTCCTCTGGGGTCGGGAATCTGAGTGCATTCTCAGTGAACCTTCTGCCTACAGCTCTCCATCACGAGGACCCCAGCTAAATGACTTTCTCTTTACTGGTCCCTCAGAGGCCAGCTTTAGGGTGTGTGATCTGAGCAGCACCCTGGAAGGACGACGTGCTCTGTCGTTAAAGGAACACGTTTTTGTCAGGTGTAGATCTCTCATGTTCCTTTCCCCTTCTGACAGGTCTGGCCTTCCTAAGGAGGCCCTGGGAGGACCAAAGGGACCACCAGGGACAAAGCTAGTGACGCTAGCAATCTGCACCTGAAGGAACTTGGGAGAGAGATGGCCCGGGAATTCCAGCTACCACAAACATGTGGCATGCTCAGGAGAGTTTCTGGAAGCCGACGGGTGTGAGATTAGTAGAGATACTGAGGGAAAGTTGGAAAAGCGACAAAGAAGAGGAGGCAGGGAAGTAAGTGTCTCTAGAGATGAGACATTTTTGTTTAATTTCCTGGATTAGTTACTTTTAATGGTTAAAAAAAGAAATCCACATCTGTTAATTTACTGCAAGAGCCCTTTGTAATTTGAGAGCTAATGGCCTTCCAGGGGAGGGGAGGATGGTTATGGATTTGTGCAAAGAGTTAAATCTCATGATGTGAACATGCTAGGGGAGGCCCCACCTGTGTGTACAATGTACTTAAAGGATTAGAGCAAACTTTGAAATTATGATATGTTTTACCTCGAGTAAGCACCTTACTCTTTAAGCTTCTATTTCCTTGAAGGATTGAGGGGGCACCAATTCTCTCAGGTAATCAGGTGCATGAGACACCCTGCTTGTGGGATTTAATGAGGGTTTAAGTGCAGGCAGATGAAGGATGTGTTATATATATACATATCTATCTATCTATATGCTATAGATAGATATGTATATCTATCTATCTATCTATATATTTTTTAAGATTTTATTTATTTGAGAGAGAGTGTGTGAAAGTAAAGAGAAAGTCATTTAGCTGGGGTCCTCGTGATGGAGAGCTGTAGGCAGAAGGTTCACTGAGAATGCACTCAGATTCCCGACCCCAGAGGAAGCGAGGATAAGCTGGGGGAGAGGCAGAAGGAGAGAGAAAGGGAGGAACAGACTCTCTGCTGAGCAGCGAGCCCGATGTGGGGCCTGATCCCAAGTCCCGGGGGTTAATGACCTGAGCTGAAGGCAGACGGTTAACCGACTGAGCCACTGAGGCTCCCCTATGTATTTTATTTTAAACCCATTTTCAATACTTGGTGAATCCAATTCAAAGGTGTTACTTCCAAGAGGTCTTTCCGCCCTGAATGAAGGTGACATTTCCAGGGAGATGCACGCACCAGAGGACCAGGGGAGTGTTGCAGTGGGAGGGGTTGGTGGGAGATGGAACAAAATTTTATTTTTTCAAATATTTGTAAAGATTTGAGAGAAAGAGCGCTTATAAGTGGGGGGCGGGGCAGAGGGAGAGAATCTTCAAGCAGACTCCCTGCTGAGTGCGGAGCCCCATGTGGGGCTCAATTTCACGACCCCCACAAAATCATGACCTGGGCAGAAAGGGAGAGTCAGAAGTTTAGACGACTGAGCCACCCAGGTGCCCCAGAAAGGGGAATTTTAGAAGAAGTATTGCTGTGCTCTCCATGTTCCCATCAGAATCTTCCAGAAATACAGGAAAATACCTGATTTTCTCTATTTGAAAACAAAAGGGCAGGAGCTGGAGATGATTTTTAAACTGAAGGCAGAAAGTACTTTGCTTTAAACTGAAGGCAGAAAGTACTCCCTTGCACAGATTTACTAGGAATGGGGGGGTGGAGGGGCGGTGCTTTTACAAAAGAATAACCATCATTGGGCACTGGGCAAGCTACTGTTTTTGACTATCTGGTCTCCTTAGATTCTAGTCAGGAAGGCTGAGGGAGGGAGAACATGGTAACCAGAAATAGGTAAGCTCAAAAGCACACAGCTTTTAGGAAACAAAAACCCATACGCAAAGATGTCTAATAAAGTCACAGTGCTTTATTTTTAAAACACTCATACACTGCCGAAAATACTTAGAAAAATAAAGTTTGGTTGGGGTTCATTACTAAACTTCAAGTCACAGGTTTTCACGTTACAGACTGGAGCAGAGTTTGCTAGGCAGGTGGAGAGCCCAGACTGAATTACGGAATGGAAAGAGGCGGTCTGGGGTGAGGCGGTCGGGGCACCCTCTAGTTCACCTATCAGATACCCAGACACCAGTTCTTCCAGTGCTGTCCTACCAGTTTGGAGATGGGGGAGTAACAAGCTCCAATGGAGGAAGAGCGAGATGGATTCATAGACCAAGCAGTTTTAAACAAAGACTTTTTTTTTTTTTTTTTGGCAACACAATACACACATCACTGTACAATGTTTAATACTTGCAGAATGGCAGGTGAAAAGAGTGGGGTGAGAAAGGGTACTGAGCGGGGAGTGGGCACTGAATGCTTCTCTTCAAAGCCTTGTGACAGGAGCAAGCGATCTAGGCCAGTCTGCCGTCAGCGCCCCTGGTGTTGTCAGCAGCTGAGTGTCTTAACAGTATTTCCATGCAGAGCCCAAGCAGGAGAAAATGGGGTGAAACGGGCCAACTTTCTATCAACTCTGGCAGTTCTGCTACCAACAGTAAATCGCCCCTTTTAACAGGAGGAAATTGAAAGGTTTCTCACTAAACAGAATTAAGTAGTGGGATCAAGAGATTTCCAGGCTTTGGGGTACCCTCATTAGTAACTGGCTTCTTCTGCTCTGACGTCTGCCCTCCGCTGGGTCACCTTAGACAGTCGGGTAGAAACAGAAGTGTGGCCAGATTTCTCCTTTGCCCTCTTCTCATTGTCGTTGAAGTCAACGAGGTGACTCATTTGGGGGACCTGTTTTTTATGAGCATTAAATACAGCTCCCGAAGTATTTTCATTTGTTTGGTGATGGACGACACAGTAATGTGTTTTGAAAAGGGTTTCCTTTTCCCTAACCCCTGCTGACCAAGGGCTATCAGCCCCCCATCAGCTTGCAGCCAGGGACCCAGCTCCCCAAGGCCCCGGCTTGCCTTTTCTTTCCGCCCTGACCACGAACCCCGCATTTCCACTGGACAGCTCATGGTGCCCGACTCTTTTTTTGCCCTGTGTTCTCCGTGTGTGAAAGCCCGATACCTCTTAAACTCCTCGGCCTGCAGGGATCCCAGAGGGTTGTCTGACTTTGAACTGTAACAACAGAGCCACCGAAAGTCTTATAAAAGCAGCGGTGACCTTTTCGAGCTGTCAAATCTTTAAATAGGATTTGGGATTTAATGTACGTTTTTAAAGAAAAAAAAATATATGAATTGCTAGTTTGAAAAAAAAAAAAGTCTTTTAGGCAAGTCAGAATCTTCCCCCTACCCTACTTTTTTTTTTTTCCCCCCTTAAACCCAGGAGAGAGAAAGCTTCGGGAGAAAAAAAAAGAAAAAAACAAAACAACCCCCCCCCACCCCAGATCTCAGGCTAAATAAGGAAGGCATATGTTAGGTGCAGCCAGACTAAAAGTCTGGGTTGAAAAGAAGCCCTTCGGTGGGTGACTGTTGTGGAAAAGGGACAAAAAAAACAAAAGGATGGAAGGCAGGAGCTTACAGGAAAGAAGCATGTGATCTGTCACGGTTTAGTATGAATTACAGCCTGAAAACTCCAACAAACTACTCATTCCAATTCTCAGGCCCAGGGCAAAAAGGTCCAGAGGAAGCTTTTTTACCTTTATTAACAAAAATCATGCGCCACCCCCCAACCGCCCAGCCGCAATGCAGAGGTTCCTCGGGCCATTCTCTGACACCCAGAGAGTCTTCTGTCCCGGGCCTACCTAATGCACTACAATTTCTGTTTACACAACTTGTCCCAGAACCGTAGTGAGTGCTTCTTGTTCTGCTTGGGCCACCGTGTAAATACTTAGGTTGGTGCATTATTTAAAAAGGAAGAAGCAGCTCACGTTTTCATCTCCTACCCATCCCCATCTCCCATGCCAGTCTGTGCCTAGCAGACAGGCTTCCCTGGGACAGCCTCTGTCTTCTTCTCTCTTATGGGGACAGAGAGGAACCCCGATCGCATTCGAAGGCCCGTGAGAGGTTTGTGAAGTGAAGTGGAATTCGGGAGGGAACACCCTTGTCTTGGCCATCCTTCTCCCCCTCAGGTTTGCACTCTCAGGGTCGATGTTCAGTGACGCAAGAGGTCGAGTGGAATCAGCATCCTTAGGGGTAATGGGGACAACTCACACAAAACCACAGAAGTGCTAGAAACAGCGCTTGATTTTATCCCTCCCCACTTGGCGGAGGTCTCTAAGAGCAAACAAAGTGCCATATCATGTGTTGGGGGGATCTATTTGGGTATTATTCGCTATCGCAGATCTTTCATTGGCTCACCAGGGAAGAATCAGGGGTGTCCATGCAAGCCTCCGGCGGGGTCAGTATGCACGCCTCTCGCTCCTCAGGCCTCCCTGAGCCTGGCTGGCCTTTTGCTTTCCAGAGATGCGACCCAGGGAAGGCAGTGCCTGACCACTTGGGATTGTCATCTGCGCTGGCGTTACCAGAAAGGTGGGTTCCAGCCCCCCAAGCAGTACAGGTAGGGGTAGTAAGGGTAGCTGTTATGCATGGAGATGAGGGAGGCCTGGGGTAAGCCCTCCTCTTTCAGGGCCGGCAGGGAGGTGTGCTTCTCCAGGTCTCCCAGGTCCGAGGTGAGCTGCTTTCGCTTGGTCTTATAGCGTCTGTTCTGGAACCATATTTTCACTTGGGTCTCAGTGAGCTTGAGGTTCTTGGCCAGGTGAGCCCTTTCAGGGGCTGACAGATACTTCTGGTGGCTGAACTTCCTTTCTAACTCGATGACCTGAGTGTGGGAGAAGGCAGCACGGGAGCGCTTCTGTGGCTGTTTCGAGGTTTGCGGAAGGCTTGGTAAGGAGTCTGCGCTGTTTTCACAGTCCAACAGATAAGTCTCCAAGTGTCTATCTGGAAAGGAGAAGGAGGAGGGATGGGAAGGAAAAGGTTACATGTTAGAGGGAAGAGAACAGAATTCAAGCCACCCTTATCTCTTCAGTGAGTGAACAAACAGCCTACTGTCATCTTGGATACATTTCACTTTTTTCACATGACTAAGGAACTCTCCTGAGTGGGGAGTGAGTGAATATGTATATTATGTATTAGTTCTCTAACAGTCATCAAGAACCAAAGTTAGAAGCTTCTAGTGATAGAGCTTCCTGCCATATCGTCCAGGAGAATTCACTAGGGTCCTGGATGTGCGTGCGTTGAGAAGAGGTGGGAGAAGTGAAGCCAGAAGAGAAGCCAGGAAGGGAAGACACAGAAATCAGGCTGCTGGTAAAGCAGGACCCAAAGGCATGAGCATTAACTTTTGGATGTCGGAAGAGGGTTTGTGTTATAGGAAAGGCGGTGCAGGCAAAGGGCAAGTTCCTCCTCTGGCTTTAGGCCCCCTTTTTTTCTAAACAGGCCGTTAGGACACCTCATCCGAAGTGACAGGACAAGGAAAGAAATCTGCTCTAAACGTTCTAACGGTGTTCTATTTCCTGAAGGCCGCAGGGACCTTCAGAATGCAGTTTTACTGCCCGTGGAGTTGGGAAGCAAAGGGAGTCTTCGCTTGTCAAACCCTGATCAGTTACTTGTTTTATATATATAACTGTAACTGCGAAGAGGTTGCGCGGGGCGGGCGCGGATCGAGGGTCCCGCGGGGACTGGGAGCGCGTGGCGTGGTCTTCATCTGGGACGCTGGGGCTCGGGGCGCCGCGTGTGCGCTCACTCTGGAGCCCCGGGAGCCAGAGCCCGCGGAGCAGAGAGCTCGGTGCCCGGCGAGTCCAGCCCAGGTACAAATCCTGCGCCACCCTGACTGTGGGGCTCAGGGTTGATTTCTGAGGCGCGCCTCCGGCGGGAGGAGGTGAGGTCCCTTGGCCTGTCGCCGCGGGGCCCCGCATCCCTGCAGCCGGAGCTCCGCGACGTCGCGCCGGTGCAGCCCGCAGGCCGGCCCGCCCCTCCTCTGGGACCGCACCCTGGCCCAGCCCGGCCGCCGCAGCCTCGCCGCCTGCTCACCTGGCTCGCTCTCTCCGTGCGCTTCGGCCTCCTGCGCGGCGCCCGGTTGGGCGCTCCACTCATCCTCGGGCGCCCCGGCGCCGCCTCTTCCTCGCTCCGGCTCCGGTTCCTGGTCTCGCGGCGGGTCCGGCTGGCGCGGGGGCTGCGGGCTGCTCGTGTGGCCGCCGCGCCTCTCCGCGCCGTCCCGCAGGATGTCCTGGATGAGGAAGGAGGTGAGCGGCTTGGACTGGGTGGGCGCCCCCGCCTCACCCGGCCGCGGCGCGGGAGCTCTGAGCATCCCCTCGGCTCGGCTGCAGGCCGGCGGCGTCAGCGGCGTCCTCGGCGTCCGCAGCACTTTCACTTTCCGCCGCCCCCGCGCACTTATAGCCCTGGGGGAGCGCGCCGCGCCGTCCTCCCATTGGCCGCCGGATCCGGGGCGCGCCGCCGATTGGCCGCCCGCGCTCCAGGTGAGGGGGGTGGAAAGGGGAGTCCCTCGCACGGTCTCTGTCACCTCTTCTCTGAAGGATTCCTCCCTAAATTCCAGCTCCGACCCACGACGGAAGTTTAGACCCTCTGGGGAATAATGATGCAGAAGAGAGATACTCGCGTAGATTGTTACAGCGCCTTTGCTCACAAAGGATGGGGGGATGACTAGATCCCAGTTTACAGATGCGAATTCCGAGGGCCCCGTGACGAGGAGAGACTGGTAGCAGACGGGATCTACCAAGGCTTTCAAAGACACGGTCGACAGGCTCCATTCTGGGCGGGATGTCACTGGGGCCATTGATAAAAGTGGAATAGGAACCATGGATTAAAGTATTGACTCAGTGTTTAAATTTACTGAAGTTAACAGTACTGTGAGTGTGTAAGAGAATGTTCTTAGGAAATAAACATTAAAGTACTTAGGGGCAGAGGCTCAGGATGGATGAAACTTAACATCACATGATTCTGAAACAGTGATAGAGATGGAGAGATAGATCCCATGTGATAAAATGAACTGGTTAAATATTAACTTGGTGAATCTGATATGCTGGTGTTCTTTTGAACTATTTTTATATATGCAACTTTTCTGTACCTCCTAGTCTAAGGCAACTTGCATTCCACTGGAAACTTCAAAAGGATGTCATGTTGTGTGTCTGGGGAGGAGAGAGAGAGAGTAGGTTCTTGTGGATAAAGCAACCAGAGACATGCCATGTACGGTGGAAGGTCTTTGGCAAAGTTGATTTTTCTTCTCTCTCTCTCTCTCTCTCTTTTTCATTTCAAAAAGTATTTTAAACATTTTCTAGATTGTCGAGAGTTTGTGGAATTAGTACCCCCAATTTCACCCAACGATGACATATTATCTAACTGCAGTACAACGTAAAAACCAGGACATCGACCTCAGTACATTACTGTTAACTACACTACAGAGTTTATTTTCATCATTTTCAAAACCTGCTTTCATTTATATGTGTGTTTATAGTTCTGTGCAATTTTGTCACATGCATAGATTCTTGTAATGCCACAATCAAGATACAAAATTGGTCTATCACCACAAAAGAACTTCCTCGGGGGCACCCGGGTGGCTCAGTCCATGAGCATTTGCCTTCCACTCAGGGCATGACCCAGGCTTATGGGATCGAGCCCCACATCGGGCTCCCTGCTCAGCAGGAAGCATCCTTTTCCCTCTCCCTCTGCTTGTGTTCCCTCTTTCGCTGTATCTCTCTGTCAAATAAGTAAATAAAATCTTAAAAAAAAAAAACCTTCCTCAGCTATCTCTTTGTATTTGTGTATCCAAGCCCCTTCTCTCCATCTCTGACCCTGGCAACCACTAATCTCTTCTTTATCTCTATAGGTTTACCATTCAGAGAATGTTACCGTTTCAGAGAATGAAATCAAACATCATATGGTATGTAAACTTTTGGAATTGGCTTTCATCATTAAGCAGGATACCCCTGAGTTCCATTTAGATTGTTGCATATATGAATAGTTATACTTTTAATTGCCAAATAGTATTCCACTGTATGTACCCACTAGAGTGTGTTCAGCTATCTACCTACTGAAGGACAGTTGATCTGTTTCCAACTTTTTGCTATTATGAATGAAAGTGCTGGGGCGCCTGGGTGGCTCAGAGGTTAAGTGTCTGCCTTCAGCTCAGGTCATGATTCCAGGGTCCAGGGATGGACCCCCTGTCATGCTCCCTGCTCAGCGGGGAGCCTGCTTCTCTCTTTCCCTCTGCAGCTCCCCCTGCTTGTGCTCTCTCTCTCTCTCACTCTCTCTCTCTCAAATAAATAAATAAGATCTTTAAAAAAAAAAAAGGAAGTGCTGTGAATATTCACATACAAGTTTTTGTGTGAACATGAGTTTTCATTTCTCTCTGGTAAATATCCAGGAGTGCAATCACTGGGCCATATGGTAATTGAATGTTTAGTTTTTTAAGAGACTGCTAACCTGTTTTCCAGAGTGATTGTGCCGTTTTAGATTTCCATCAGCAATATTTGAGGGTTTCAGTTTGTCCATATCCTCATTAGCATCTAGAATTATCCTTGTCTTTCATTTTAGACCTTGTAGGAGGTGTATAGTGATATCTCACTGCAGTCTTATATTTTCAGTTTGCACTTCCCAAATGGCTAATGATATTGAACATCTCATGTGCTTCTTTGCCATCCGTATGTCCTCTTTGGTGAAATATCTGTTCAATTCTTTAGGGTTTTAGTAATTCTTCATATATTCTCTATATGGGCCTTTGTTTAATGTGTGGTTTGCAAAGATTTTTCTCCCAACTTGTCTTGTCATCTTTTAAACAGTATTTCACAGCACAAACTTTTTAATTTTGGTAGAGTCCAATTAATTTTTTATTTTTACATATTTTGCTCTTGGTGTCAGGCCTGAAAATTCTTTGCTTCTCCCTACTATCTGAGGAGGCTCTCCTGTGTTGTTTTCTAGAATTTTTATATGTTACTTTTTTAAAAATTATTTTTAAAAGATTTTATCCATTTATTTGACAGAGAGAGAGATCACAAGCAGGCAGAGAGGCAGACAGAGAGAGAGGGGGAAGCAGGCTCCCTACTGAGCAGAGAGCCTGATGTGGCCTGCCCAATCCCAGGACCCTGAGACCACGACCCTACCCGAAGGCAGAGGCCCAACCCACTGGGGTGATGCAGGATTCATTTTGAATTTGTTTTTGCATATGGTATGAAGTGGAGTTGGAGGTGGCCTCCTTTCACTTTTTAAAATCTAGAGCTTGGTGGGATTTCAAATCAGTGGAGGAAATGTGAATTATTTAATAACTAGTATTGTCATTTGGAAAAAATAAAGTTCTATTCTTATAACAAAATAAATCCCAGATGGCTCAAAGATTTAAAACATGATCAGGCATTTAAAAAAAAGGAGGGGCATGCCTGGGTGGCTCAGTCGTTAAGCAGCTGCCTTTGGCTCAGGTCATGATCCCAGGATTCTGGGATCGAGCCCACACTGGGCTCCCTGCTCAGCTGGAAGCCTGCTTCTCCCTCTCCCATTCCCCCTGCTTGTGTTCTCTCTCTCACTGTGTCTCTCTCTGTTAGGTAAATAAATAAAATCTTAAAGTAAGTTTTGCCTACACTCATCATTAGAGAAATGCAAATTAAAACCAGATTGAGCTACCCCTTTTCCACGTATAGGACTAGCAGAAGTTAAGAAAAGAGATGACGTCCAGTGTTGGTGAAAGCTGTGAAGGAACAGTGGTTTCCATACCAAGTGGGAGAGAGAGTAAATCGGCTTTGTATATTTGGAGGACAACTTGTCAAGATGAAAACTGGGCCTGTCTTTTGACACAGCTACTCCATGCTTAGAGACTTACCCTAGAAATATACAAATATATGTTGTACTACTTGGGAAAATATCCTCACTTTGGTCAGAGACTGATTCAAGGTGCAAAATAATGTTATAGAATAAAAATAGTGACAAGTTATCTATATTTTAAATCTCTAAAAGGATATAAGTATTTCACTAGAGAAATACTGTGATCAGTGAGGAGGAAACAGCAGATCCAGAGGACAGGGGAGTGGAACAGGGGAGCAATTTCTTGTGCTAATTTATAATTTCAAAAAATTAAAAATGTAGAGCGGAAGCTGAGCTTGGGCTCACCTCTTCCACCAGCAGGACCTTAGATCTCAGATGTCCCTTCCGAATGGGGACATGGCTCACAGCACTTCTCCTCACCTCACTTCACATGGCCTTCCTTTCATGCTTTGTATCTGGGATGTTTATGTGGTTGGGGACTCTCCTTTCTTAGACCGTGAGCTCCCTGTGCGGGGACTACATCATCCTCGTATTTATACTGTCCCTAAAAGATGGCTTAGATTTTGACACACAGAAGGTGCTCGATAAATGTTTGCTGGCTGGAAGTCCAGCTTTAGGCACCGGGAGACATCTCCCAGGCTGGCAGCATTATCCATAAGGGACCACAAGGTCCCAAGGCAAATCACAGTGCAAGGTCTGCCCTTCTTCACCATGTCTGGGCAGCTTAAACTGGGTGACAAGGAGCGAAGGCAATCAGGAAGACCCAAAGGAAGGGCAGGAGGCCTCTTTTGATGAGACAGAATTTCAGAGAAAAATAACACCCCTTCCCCAGATGTCCCCCTCCAAATCCTTGGAACTTCCGAACATGCTAGATGGATAACAAAAGGGAGTGAAGGTCACAGATGGAATTAAGGTTGCTAATCAGCTGACCTTGGACCAGCAAGGTCACTCTATCATCCAGGTGGACCGAGTGTAATCTCAGAGTTCTTACAACTTAAAGAAGGAGGGAAGAGACAGAGCCAGAGAAGCGATGGGAAGTGAGAAAGACTCACCTGACCTTTGTTGACTTTGAAGATGGAAGTGGGCGGGCCTGAGCCAAGGAACACAGGCAGCCTCTAGAAGCTGGAAAAAGTCACGAAGCAGATTCTCCCCTAGAGCATCTAGAAGAGAAACAGTTCTGCTGACACTTTGATTTTAGCCCAATTAGACCCATTCTGGACTTCTACCATCTAGAAATGAATCCAGAGGCATTTATGAAAGGATCCAGAAATGAAGAGGATTACCAGATCTGCTTTAATATGAACTTTGAGACTCTTTTTAAAATTGAAACATACATTTAGACCCATAATTCCATCCCTTTATTAAAATTTTCTTCTTCCGGGGAAGCCTGGTCGGCTCAGTCAGTTAAGCATCTGCCTTCTGCTCAGGACATGATCCCATGGGATTGAGCCCTGCATCAGGCTCCCTGCTCAGCGCATAGCCTGCCTCTCCCTCTGCCTCTGCCTGCTGCTCCCCCTGTGTGTGTGCGCTCTCTCTCTC